CTGGTGTGCCGGCGCCGCTAGGCGGAGGATTAGCCTAGTGAGCCGCGGCGCCGGCCTGTACCTTTTTTTTTAAAAAAAAAAGTTTTATTTATTTAAAAGGCAGATTACAGAGAGAGAGAGAGAGATCTTCCATCAGAAGCCAGCAGCTTTTTCCAGGTCTCACACATGGCCGCAGGGGCCCAAGCACTTGGGCCATCTTCTACTTCCTTCCTAGGCACGTTAGCAGGGAGTTGGATCAGAAGTGGAGTAGCTGGGACTTGAACTCATAGGGGATGCTGGGGTCGCAGATGGCAGCTTTACCTGCTGCGCCACAGCGCCAACCCCAGTCTTTTTACTTTTTATTTGCTGGACTCTTTATTTACTGGAGAATTAAGTCTTTGACTGTAATGTAAATTAGAAATAAGTTATCTTGGGTTTAAGCTACTGCCTGTAGTGCCAGCATCCCATATGGGTGCTGGTTCTAGTCCTGGCTGCTCCACTTCTGATCCAGCTCTCTGCTGTGGCCTGGGGGAAGCAGTAGAGGATGGCCCAAGTCCTTTTGGGCCCCTCCCCTTGAGCGGGAGACTCGGAAGAAGCTCCTGGCTCCTGGCTTTGGATTGGTCCAGCTCTGGCCATTGAGGTCATCTGAGGAGTGAACCAGCAGATGGAAGATCTCTCTCTCTCTTACTGCCTCTGCCTCTCTGAAACTCTGCATTTCAAATAAATAAATAATTTTTAAAAAAATATTATATCAAAAATAAAAAATTGGGTTTTCTTATTACCAACTTTAAAGGGTTCTTATATATTAAATGCAAATCTTTTTTTAAAAAAAAGATTTATTTATTTGAAAGGCAGAATGACACAGAGAGAGAAAGAGGGATAGACAGAGAGAACAAGAGGGACAGAGGTTTTCACTGCTGGTTCACTCCCCAAATGGCTGCAATGGCTGGGCTGGGCGAGGCTGAAGCCAGGAGCCAGGAACTCCATGCCAAGCACTTGGGCCATCCTCTGCTGCTTTCTCAGGTGCCAGCAAGGAGCTGGGTGGGAAGTGGAGTAGCCAGGACTCTAGCCAGGCTCTCATATGGGATGCTGTTTTCGCAAGTGGTGGCTTAACCCTCTTTTCAACAATGCCAACCTCCAAATAGAAATCCTTTGTCAGATGGAAATACGTTAAAATTTTTTCCCAGGTCCGACTTGGCTCTTTCTTTATTCTATAGACATTTCCTTTTTTTTTAAAAAGATTTGTTTATTTATTTGAAAGTTAGAGTTACACACAGAGAGAAGGAGAGCTATAGAGAGAGGTCTTCCATCCATTGGTTCACTCCCCAATTGGTCCAGACAGCCAAAGCTGCACTGATCCGAAGCCAAGAGTCAGGAGCTTCCTCTGGGTCTCCCACACCAGCACAGGGGCCCAAGGAGTTGGGCCATCTTCCACTGCTTTCCCAGGCCACAGCAGAGAGCTGGATTGGAAGTGGAGCAGCAGGGACTCGATCTGGTGCCCAAACGGGATGCCGGCACTGCAGGCGGCAGCTTGTATGCCTAGAGACTGGTGATGTATCCTATCAATGGCTGTGTTACGGTTTTATTGCCTGTTCTTTCTGAACAGTTTTTTTTTTTAAGATTGATTTATTTACTTGAAAGTCAGAGTTACACGGAGGGAGAAGGAGAGGCAGACAGAGAGAGAGAGAGAGAGAGAGAGGCAGGCCAGGCATACATAGTTCGAGCTATAGGTCTGAAAACAGTTAACACCATTGCTCTTTACTCAAGCAGAACCTGAAAAGGTTACAGTTGAAGCACTCCCAGGCAAGCGGAAAGAGGCCACATTTCCTGGGTAAGTTTCTTTTTCATTGGTCAGATCTTGGGGGGTGGCCTCTGCCACACAGAGGTGTATATAAAAATCAAGACAGATAAACATAGAGGTAAAACTGAAATTCTTACAGGAGCCAGTACAGCAGAAAACCGTTGTGACCTCGACAGAACACACAAACCACTAAAACAACTGACAAATCTAACTTTATCAACATTAAAACTGATGGTCTTGAAATGTCTACAATATAGGGGCCAGCCCTGTGGCGTAGTGGGTAAAGCCACCGCCTGCAGTGCCAGCATCCCATATGGGCATCAGCTCGAGTCTTGGCTGCTCCACTTCCAATCCAGCTCTCTGCTATGGCCTGGGAAAGCAGTAGAAGATGGCCCAAGTTGTTGGGCCCCTGCACCTGTGTGGGAGACCTGGAAGAAGCTCCTGGTCCCTGGCTTCAGATCAGCGCAGTTCCAACCATTGTGGCCAGTTGGGGAGTGAACCAGCAGATGGAAGATCTCTCTCTCTCTCTGTCTGCCTCTCCTCTCTCCGTGTAACGATTTCAAGTAAATAAATCAATCTTAAAAAAAAAAAAAACTGTTCAGAAAGAACAGGCAATAAAACCATAACACAGCCATTGATAGGATATGTCACCAGTCTCTAGGCCCCAGGTTGGATGTGGCATTTCATGGCACACTGTCTCTCACTGACTTCTGAAAATCTGACTTTCTTGATTTAGACTTCTATTTGTGTCAACAAGAAAGTGAAACCGAGGTGACCTGCCAACGTCAAGGAGTTGATACCACTCCTGACGGTTGTCCCAAACCTTGTGCCTTTGCCCTTTCAAATTAGATTGAATTTTATTAAAAATTGTATTTGAAAGGCAAAGTGACAGAGAGAGAGAGCTAGAGAGAGTAAGACAGAGAGAGAAAGAGATCTTCCACCTGCTGGTTCACTCCCCAGATGGCTGTGGGTGCAGGGGCCCACGTGCTTGGGCCATCTTCCACTGCGTTCCCAGGCACATAGCAGGGAGCTGAATGGGACGTGGAGGACTAGGGATGTGGCACCAGTGCTCCAGTATGTGATGCCAGCAGCGCAGGCAGCCGCTAAGACACTGCACCGCAACGTTGGCTTCAGACTGAATTTTCAAAAATCCCCGGTCTGCACATTGTCACAAGTCAGGACCTGTGTCTTGTTTCGAATGTCTTTTTTTTTTTTTTTTAAGTTTATTTATCTACAATGTGAAAGGCTGAGAGAGAGAGCTAGTGAGCGAGCGAGAGATCTTCAGCTGCCGGGGCATTCCCCAAATGCTGGCATCAGTCAGGGCTGGGCTAGGAGCCCAGAACTCAATCCGTGTCTCCCACGTGGGTAGCAGTGGCCCAGGCATTTGAGCCTCCATCGGTTCCTTCCAGGCACATCTGCAGGAAGCTGAATCCCAAGCGGAGAGGTGCTGGGAATGGAATCAGGCCCTCGGCCTTGTGATGCGAGCGTCTCACGCAGCCGCTTAAGCCCCGCCTCTATCCCCGTTTTTGGGCAGTCATTCAATAAATGTTTCTAAATGACAGGTTTCCCGGGACTGCTCTTCTGCTGGGAGAGGGCGTCGCCAGGCCACCTGCTGTACCTCACGGGCTTGGGACCACTCCCAGTACGCCCAGCGTTTAGCAGGGCTTAGCAGGACACAGAGGGGATAGGAAAACAGAAGAAAATTTGTACAACCCCCCAGACGCCATCGTTTAGGATGGAAATCAGGGAAGCTAGTCAGTCTGTAAGTGTAACACATGGCGAGAAACATCCGGGATATAACCCCAGTTCCTCCTGGGAACGCTGCCGGTTTCCTGGGCTAAATCCTCTATTTTGAATGTTTGGGGTCTTCCTTGGATCCCTATTAGGGGCATTCGACGACTGGAACCCCGAATCTGTGGGACTCAGAGGCCTCAGGACACACCCGGGCGTGCAGAGCCGCCCGGGCGTCCCACAGCAGCTTCGGTCGCCTAGCAACCGAGGGTCGACCGCTCGGCGCTCGACTCGTCCGGGCCTGATCGAGAAGCGGCGCTCGGGCGCGAGCGTCTCCCGGCCGGGTCCCAGCGGTGCGCACGCGCGAGGCCGGATCGGGCTGAGGGTGGGGCGAAGAGGCGCGCGAGGGCCTCCGGCGAGGCGCGGCGGGGAGGGGCGCGCGCACGGGGGGCGGGGCGGTGGGCGCGGAGAGTGGCTGAGGAGCCGGAAACGCGCCGCGGAGGGTGCGCCCCGGACGAGGCGGCGGGCCGGGCGGGGCTGGGAGGGAAACGTTAGGCCGGCGGCCCTCGGGCCGCGGGGGTCGAGCGGGCGGGGAGGACTCTTAGGCGAGCGCCGTCCGGATGAGGAACAAAGCGGTGGGGCAGGCGCGCGCGCCCCCCGCGCGGCCGGCAGGTGGGCTGCGTGCGGGCCCGGGCGGGCCTGCGGGCCCCGGGCCGGCGGGCGGACGGGCGGACGAGCGGGCGGCCCTCGGGCAGCGGGGTCTGCAGCCCCGGGGGCGACGGGGACCGGGCCTGCGTCCCTCCAGCCTTTGGTGACCGCTCTTGTCCCCACCTACCCCAGGTTGGGCGGCCTCCGGCCCGACGCTTCCGGAGGACAGGCCTCGAGTGAGCCGCGGCATGCCCCAGCCCGTGGCGCGGTGCGCGCCCGCTGGCCCTCGGGCGACGCTGCGCGGCCCCGGGCGGCCCCGAGGACGAGTGGCCGCGTCTGTGCAGCGGTCGTAAGCAAGATGCGGTAGCACGTGAGCCTGGAAGGCAGCGCCCCATGCCGGTTCCCCGCCGCCCGAGCGCTCTTTTCTCTGACACTTGGCCCCAAGCAGGTGCATCACAGGTGGGTAGGCAGGTGGGGTCCGCGCTGGCGACATCTTGGGAAAAAGTACGGGGAACGACTGGCCAGGGTGGATGCCTTTGTTTTTTGTTTTTTGTTTTTTTGTTTTTTTTTTTTTCTTTTGGTGCCATTGGGAAGTTTACAGGTGCGATTTGCAAATAAGTTTGTAGGAAGCGAGACATCCAGAAACGGTTGGGTTGAAATGTGAATACTTTTTCCAGATAGCCACGGATTTATTGTTGGCTGGTCCACGCCTTTGTGCCTGTGTCTTTGAGTGTTTAATCATATCTTTACCTGGATTCCAAAGTGGTTTTTATCAGCACGCCTGGCTCTGAGTTTCCCTGCTGACCACGTGGCTGGGTTGATAGAGTGGGCAAATGAAGCCCTTAAAGCCTTTTAAAAGCACCGTGAGAAACTGGGCCAGGACCCCTACAGAAGCAAAACAGAGAAAATTTTTTTTTCCAGGACCCTTTCAAAAGCTGCAGGTTTAGAATGAGGAAGATCAAACATACGTTCCTTGAAATGATTGCAACTGTTGCATTCTGCAAAGTGGCTACATTTCAGTTAGCTTCTTACTCTAAGAAAAAGATGTGGAGTCAGCGACTGGGAAACGGCTACAGAGGTCAGTTAGAAAGGCAGAAGCTATGGAAGTTTGCAGGAATGGTTTAGCTGCCCACCGTGCGGTGATCCCAGACCTTCCTGGATTGCTGCTTAGACTCCGTGTGAGAAAAGTGGCTAGAAAAGACGGGCGCCTTGGCATGAGAACATCCTCAGAGGAGCCTGTGCTGCTTCCTCCTCGTCCTCTGCCCACTCTCTGGGGTACTACTTAGTTACCTTTGGTTTGTGGCTGCTGAGGTCATCACATTTTAGTGACTTCCCAACCAAGCAGAAATCTGCTGAGCCTCTCACATTCAACTCTGGTTTGAACTGGTTTGAGAAGGCTTAGGAGGCAGCCTTGAAACACCATTTTGATTTTTATCTGGAGATTAGGTACACAGATGGATACTCAGAAGTTTTCAGAACGGGGGTTGAAACTAGAGACTTTTGATGGACGTTTAAACATTATCATAACCAATTTGTTGTAGGGCATTATGGCTCCAGTGATGTTAGTGTTGTAGTTATGGGTGTAGCTATAAAAACATTATAGGAAAAGTCCGTTTTAAATTAGGTCAAGCCCAGAACCTTTCAAAATGAAGGTAGGTCCGGTTTCTGTAGGCTACGAGGATTTCTGTTCCTTGTTTGCCAGCCTAATAAAATGCTGCTGTGGTGTGCTGTCCCTCGTAAGGTGCACCTTTTACCTGTCTTTCAGGTAAGGATAAGAGTTTGCATTATTCCAGCCAATCAGAATACTTGAGAGGGCCACTCGTGACCTGAGTTGGCCTTGTGTTCTTTATGATGTCTGAGAGCTTAGTTTTATGACATAATGGCCAGGAATAAGGGTGAATTCTGTGGGTGTACAGGAAGCAGGTGTGTGGGGCTTGACATATACCTCACACTACGAGCAGGTGCTCCTGTGTGGGGACTGTGAAAGGCAAGACACTTCTGTGGTTTTTCTTTTCCTGATTGTTGTTAAGAGCTTGGTTTCGTGAATGAGGTAGGTCTGCATTTACATCCCAGCTGTGCCTCTTTACCAGTTGTGAGATCTTAGGTTAAGTTTCTTAGCGTCTCTGAGCCTTCGTCTCCTCATCCTTTTTTTTTTTTTTTTTTTTTACGACAGGCAGAGTGAACAGTGAGAGAGAGAGACAGGGAGAAAGGTCTTCCTTTTGCCGTTGATTTATCCTCCAATGGCCGGCGCACCGAGCTGATCCGATGGCAGGAGTCAGGTGCTTCTCCTGGTCTCCCATGGGGTGCAGGGCCCAAGCATTTGGGTCATCCTCCACTGCACTCCCTGGCCACAGCAGAGAGCTGGCCTGGAAGAGGGGCAACCAGGACAGAATCCAGTGCCCCGACCGGGACTAGAACCCAGTGTGCTGGCACCTCAAGGCAGAGGATTAGCCTAGTGAGCCGCGGTGCCGGCTCGTGTCCTCATCTTGAAAGTAGAAGACAGAATCGTACCCACCTCACAGCAGTTAGGGAGGATCAGGAGAGCGAGTTACGTGCGAATCGCTTAGCCCATCGCCTAGCACGTGATAAGGGTCATAAATGTTAGCTGTTGTTATTTTCAGGTTGATTGGTTAATAGCATTGCCATTTTTTCTGAATTAAAAACCTATTTAGGCTTGCTGTCACTGCTGAAGAGTATGTAGTCTTATTTATTTTTATGTTTGAGGCAGGAAAAGCTCCTGTCCACACTGATTCACTCCCCAGATGCCTGGGATCTCGGAGCTCCATCCAGGTCTCACAGAGAAGAATGTGATACCCACTGTCAGGACTGGAGCTCGTTGGAGGCCTCCTTTGGGTAGCCTCGTGGGATTAAGACAGCTCTAAGACGGAAGCCTCTCAATTCTGAATTGGAACACATTTTGATAATAACCTCCGTAATGTTTTCAAATCAGTGTTATTTATTTTTGAGACTTTTTTTTTTACAAAGGGACCTCAAAAAGTTTGTGGAAAATCGGCATTCTCTTTTAGCTCCATGTTTCCGTGAACCTTTTGAAAGCTCCCTTGTAACTGCTGCGCAAGCTGGATTGTATAGAAAAGATTCCTCTATTCTTCAGCCTGCAAGTGTGGTCTGTAGACTTAAACACTGCTGAACTGCGTTTTTGCAGGATGTTCTGTGCTCTTTCACTGAACTGCTCGCTCCTTCCTTCCTTCCGTCCTTCCTTCCTTTCTCTCTCTCCTCTCTCTCTCTCTCAAGATTTATTTATTTATTTATTTGAAAGGCAGAGTTACAGGGAGAGGCAGAGGGAGAGCGAGCTCTTTGATCTGCTGGTTCACTCCCCAGATGGCTGCAATGCCGGAGCTGCGCTGATCTGAAGCCAGGAGCTTCTTGTGGGTCTCCCACGCGGGTGCAGGGGCCCAAGGACTTGGGCCGTCTTCTACTGCTTTCCCAGGCCATAGCAGAGAGCTGGATCAGAAGTGGTGCAGTTGGGACTTGAACCAGTGCTCATATGGGATGCCTGTGTCTCAGGGTTAACCTGTACCACAATGCCTACCCTCATTATACCACTAATAATCTGGAATCAGATTCATTATTGCTTCAACTCCTGGTAAGGAGTATAGATCAGTAAAGGTTCTTAGAGTAGATTAAGACAAGCTGCCTAAAAAAGCAAAGGTTTGAAGTAATAAGCTCTTGGAGAAAATAGATGTTGTCGAAGGGAATGCTCGAGTGATTCTAATAAACCGTCATTCCCTGTGATTGCTTTACATGGCGTGCAGTGCATTTGGAACAAGACAGACGCCAAGTCAAATCCTATTCCTGCTATATGATGTTGACTGGAGATAGTTCCCATCTCTGAGACCCAGTTCTTTACTGGGTAGACTGTGACACTGGCTGTCTCCAAGAGTTGTGAGCACAGTCGGTCAAGCCTCTTTTCTCTATCCCCAGTGACTCAGGCTCTGTAGTATCTTAGCACAGTCACCAAGGTCATTCTGTTGCCTAACCTTTTGGATTTCTGTTTCCTAGGATGAATGAAATGAACCTGAGCCCAGTGGGGATGGAGCAGCTGACTTCATCCTCTGTGAGCAACGCCTTGCCAGTCTCAGGAAGTCACCTGGGGCTGGCTGCCTCCCCCACGCACAGTGCCATCCCTGCTCCAGGTAGGTGGTCAGGGGGTCCGCTGCATGGAGCCTGGAGGAAGCCAGCGCACTCTAAAGGGGAGAGGGAGAAGTCAGGCAGCCAGTCATGCAGGCAGGTGGCCGCAGAATGGAAGGAGGCGTCTGTGTAGCATCTGCAGTTCTAGGGAGAAGCGCTTGTTTCTCATAGTCTCTTTAGGGTTGGTAGCCTTTTGTCCAGAGTTGTAGTAGACTTGGCTTTTTATCTAGGGTGACCCGTTTGGCGCTTACCTTGGCTCTCTGTCCCTGGATTAATAGAAGGGAATCAGTTAAAGTCACTCGTGTTCTGGGGGAGAGGTGAAACCAGAGACACAGCTCCTGTGTGGAAGTCCCCATGAACCTCAGTACTCAGAAGAGCAGAGCAGGAAAAACTCATTCTTCCCCATCACTATACTTTTAAAACCAATTTTTTCTGCCTAGTTTCCTTTTCATTTCCTATTAAAATGGAAAAGAAATGACTAACCTGTTGATAAGTATCTGTGACATTGTAATAATTGGACTTAAAATAGGAGCTAGTTCTGGGGAGTATTTTATGTATTTATTTTAAATTTTACCTACTTGGGAATCAGAAATAGAAGGGGGAGAAAGGGTGGAAGGCAAGTGAGTGTCCTCCAATCGTCTGGCTTCCTCCCCAAATGCCCACAACAGCCCTCACTCGGGCTGAAGCTGGGAGCGGGGAGCTCAGTCTGGATCTCCCGCCTGGGTGACAAGGACACAGCTGCTTGAGCTGTCACTGCTGCCTCCCAAGGTGCGCATTAGCGGGAAGCTGGAGCCAGGGGCTGGAGCTGAGTCAAATACAGGTACTCCAGTGTGGGCCGTGGGCACCTGAACTGTCTTAACGGCGAGGCTAAGTACAAGACTGGTCTAAACTAGGATCACTTCACATTCCTTAAGTCCCGTAAAAGAAAATTTTTAAAATTATTAGTTGTTAATACAGTTGATTGTCTCTTAGGCATTCCTTTTTAAAAATGTACATTTTTACTAAGGAGGAAAGCTTATTAACAAATCACTCCCCCCCCACCCAGGGGGCTGGCACTGTAGCACAGCAGGTTAAAGCCCTGGCCTGTAGCACCTGCATTCCATATGGGCTCCGGTTCAAGTCCTGGCTACTCCACTTTTGATCCAGCTCCCTGCGAATGTGCCTGGGAAAGCAGCAGAGGATGGCCCAAGTCCTTTTTTTTTTTTTTTTTTTTTTGACAGGCAGAGTGGACAGTGAGAGAGAGAGACAGAGAGAAAGGTCTTCCTTTGCCGTTGGTTCACCCTCCAATGGCCGCCGCGGCCGGCGCGTTGCGGCCGGCGCACCGCACCGATCCGATGGCAGGAGCCAGGAGCCAGGTGCTTTTCCTGGTCTCCCATGGGGTGCAGGGCCCAAGCACCTGGGCCATCCTCCACTGCACTCCCGGGCCACAGCAGAGGGCTGGCCTGGAAGAGGGACAACTGGGACAGAATCCGGCGCCCCGACCGGGACTAGAACCCGGTGTGCCGGCGCCGCTAGGCGGAGGATTAGCCTAGTGAGCCGCGGCGCTGGCCATGGCCCAAGTCCTTTTACCCCTGCACTCCTGTGGGAGACCTGGAAGAAGCTCCTGGCTTTGGATCAGCTCAGCTCAGGCTGTTGCAGACATTTGGAGAGAGAACCAATGGATGGAAGACCTCTCTGTCTCTCTCTGTAACCCTGTCTTTCAAATAAATAAAATAAATATAAAAAAATTTTTTTAAAAATTGCCCCTGGTAAAAATGTGCAGATCAGCACTGCCCAGGTTGGTGAGTATTCATTATGCTGCTTAGGCACTGTAAGAGTCACTGCAGCTTTTGGCAAGTAGATATAATCTAAAATTAAAATTTATTAATTGTGAAGTATAGACTATGAAAGTGAATATGTACAGTTTTACATCTAACTTGAAATTATTTTCCAAGTAGAAGCATAGCTGTGAATTTTTTCTGAGGAAAATATTTTCATCTAAAATGGCAAACATAGGAGCTGGCATTGTGGTGTAGCAGGCAAAGCCACCACCACCTGTGATGCCAGCATCCTGTGTGGGTGCTGGTTTGTGTCCCAGCTGCTCCACTTCTGATCTAGTTCCCTGCTGATGGCCTGGGAAAAAGAAGAGGATGGCCCAAGTGTTTGGGCCCCTGCCACCCACGTGAAAGACCTGGAAGAAGCTCCTGGCTCCTGGCTTTAGCCTGGCCTAGCTCTAGCCATTGTGGCCATGTAGGGAGTGAACCAGCAGATGGAAGATGTCTTTGTCTTTTTCTCTCTTTCTAACTCTTTCAAATCTTAAATAAATAAAATGGTAAATAAAGTTAAAAAAATGACATTTACTCAAGGACTGCTCCTGAACACTTTATATTCTTTGCATTGTTCTGTATGTAATTTTTAAACTAAGTCTTTTCCTAAAGATTTATTTATTTATTTGAAAGGCAGAGTTACACAGAGAGCAAGCAAGATCTTCCATCCACTGGGTTCACTCCCCAGATGGCCACAATGGCCAGGACTGGACCAGGCCAAAGCCAGGAGCATTGGAACTCCATGTGCAGGGGCCCAGGCACATTAGCAGGGAGCTGGATGGGAAGAGGAGCAGCCAGGACATGAACCAGTGCTCATATGGGATGCTGGTTTAACATGCTGCACAACACTGGCCCCTAAACTAGGCTTTTAATCATAGATTAAAGGTTTTGTTGTGCAGGACCAGTATTGGCAACTGGAAGATCAACTTGACATTTTAAAAGTAACCTGAGGACTAATACTTTGTTTAGCCCTGTTCGTAGATGTTTTTATAACTCTATCTAGGGATCAAAAGGACTACTAGGAGAGACTTCTACCCATTTGCAGAAACCTTTCTAGGAGTTCAGCCACTGTTAATACAATTTTTAAGTACTTTCTTCTTGAGGAAAAAAATTTTTTTGTAGGCCTGCCAGTGGCGATTCCAAACCTGGGCCCCTCCCTGAGTTCTCTGCCTTCCGCCTTGTCTCTGATGCTCCCGATGGGCATTGGCGATCGAGGGGTGATGTGTGGGTTACCTGAAAGGAACTACACCCTGCCTCCACCACCTTACCCCCACCTGGAGAGCAGTTACTTCAGGACTATTCTACCCGGTACGTGTTACAGTTTGTTCGGTTTCTCTATTAGATATTAATCTCTTTGGGGGGGGAGCTTTGTTTATATTTGTGTACTTTTCCTCTTAGGATGTGCATGTAACACACTATGGATGCAATAGTTTGACTAAGATAATTTCTTTTTTTTTTTTTTTTTTTTTTTTTTGACAGGCAGAGTGGACAGTGAGAGAGAGAGAGACAGAGAGAAAGGTCTTCCTTTGCCGTTGGTTCACCCTCCAATGGCCGCCGCTGCAGCCGGCGCACCGCGCTGATCCGATGGCAGGAGCCAGGATCCAGGTGCTTTTTCCTTGGTCTCCCATGGGGTGCAGGCCCAAGCACCTGGGCCATCCTCCACTGCACTCCTGGTCATAGCAGAGAGCTGGTCTGAAGAGGGCAACGGACAGATTCAGGCGCCCGACGGGACTAGAACCCGTGTGCGCGCGCAGGTGAGATTAGCTATTGAGCACGAGCGCTCGACTAAGATAATTTCTTAATTCACAGAAACATTTTCTCCCAGCATCTCCTGTTCTGCAATTATGCTTGTTATTCCTGCCAACTACCAGTCCTGCTAGGGTGTCATTGTTTTTTAAAGTTTATTGAATTCTTTCTCTGGTATAAAAATATTACATATTCATTTCAGGCAATTTAGCAAAGAGAGAGGTCAGGGAACGCTCCCAGTCATCCATCCATCTTTTTTGGTGTACTTCCTTCTTTTATTTGGGTGTGTGAGTTTTTACTGTTTTTCATAACTGAGGCTGTGTCTTGGGGAGGCATTTGCCATAGCAGGTCAGACACTTGGGACACATGCATCCCATGACAGAGTGCCTGGGTTCGAATCCTGGCTCTGCTTCTGATTTCAACTCCCTGCTCATGTGTAGGAGACCCTTTGTCTCTCTGCCTTTCATATAAATAAAAAACTTTGAAATACAGTTTAAAGAAAGACCACATTTTCCATACAGTTTTTATCTTTCCTTTATTATTTTTTTTCTTTGCTTTTACAGTTGTTTTCCCCTGCTGGTTTGCACAGTTATCCTTTTTAATGACACACTGCTTTCTGTTGAATGGGTATTTCCTGGTTTATTTTACAGTCTTTATTCTTGTGCAGTTTGGTTTTTCCGGTTTTTATTATTATTGTAACTAATGCTCTTCTGAATGTCTTTGCCTATAATATTTGCAAAATACATTTATGGAAGATATTGCAAATGCAATTTCTTGTACAAGAGAACGTTAGCATTTTTGTTCTTAATGTACACATTTTTCAAAGGGGTTTCAGCAATTTATACTCCCACTGGCTGTGCATTTAAGACCGTTTCATGGGGCCGGCGCCGTGGCTCACTTGGCTAATGCTTCGCCTGCGGCGCTGGAATCCCATATGGGCGCTGGGTTCTAGTCCCGGATGCTCCTCTTGCAGGCCAGCTCTCTGCTGTGGCCCGGGAGGGCAGTGGAGGACGGCCCAAGTGCTTGGGCACCTGCACCTGGCTTTGGATCAGCGCAGCACCAGCCGTAGCGGCCATTTGGGGGGAGAACCAATGGAAGGAAGACCTTTCTCTCTGTCTTTCTGTCTCTCTCTCTCTCTCTCTCTCTAACTCTACCTGTCAAATAAGTAAAAAAAGAAAAAAGACTGTTTCACCACACTCTCAAAAGTACAAGTTTCCAAATTTGTTTCGTTTTTACAACACAGGTACGATTGTGACTTTGAATACTTTAGTGTGCTGTGACAGTTTAATGAGTTGAAAATGATTAGATTTAATGTATTTAAGTTTTATTTTCACATGAGACATCTTTTAAACCATTTTTCCTTTTAAATGGTTCTTGTAAAGCAAACTTTAACATCTTAGGACTCAGGAATTGCAGCCATGCATGTAGTAAAACAGTGTTTAAATGATTAATTTCCAGTCAGCTTCAAAGGGTTGTTTTAGGATTTCTGAGTTTCAAGGGAAAAATTCAATTATGGTATGTGTATGTTGCTGTTTATAAAGTATATACATGTTGGTTAAGGAAGTAGATTGTTTTAACTTAGTTTTTATTTGTAAGGAAAATAGCTTATAAATAGCAACTTGAATTCCGTGTATTTAACAATGTGCTAACAATTGTCTCATGTCTCGCCTTTTCCATTTTTTAGGCATTTTGTCTTATTTAGCTGACAGACCACCTCCTCAGTACATCCATCCCAACTCTATCAACGTGGATGGCAACACAGCATTATCGATTGCCAATAACCCTTCAGCGCTAGATCCCTATCAGTCCAATGGAAATGTTGGATTAGAGCCAGGCATTGTTTCGATAGACTCTCGCTCTGTGAACACACACGGCACCCAAAGTCTTCACCCCAGCGATGGCCATGAGGTGGCCTTGGACACAACCATCACCATGGAGAATGTTTCCAGGGTGACCAGCCCGATCTCTACAGACGGAATGGCGGAGGAGCTTGCGATGGATGGTGTTGCGGGCGAGCACCCCCAGATCCCAAACGGCTCCAGAAGTCACGAACCTCTGTCTGTGGATTCTGTGAGCAGCAGCCTTGCAGCAGACACTGTAGGACATGGTGGTGTGATACCTATCCATGGCAGTGGCCTGGAGCTCCCCGTGGTCATGGAGACAGACCACATTTCAAGTCGGGTCAGCGGCATGTCAGACAGTGCCCTCAGTGACTCCATCCACACCGTGGCCATGAGCACCAACTCTGTAAGCGTGGCACTCTCTACCTCACACAACCTCGCCTCCCTAGAATCCGTTTCCCTCCATGAAGTTGGCCTCAGCCTAGAACCTGTGGCTGTTTCCTCCATCACCCAGGAGGTTGCTATGGGGACAGGCCATGTAGATGTGTCTTCAGACAGTCTTTCTTTTGTACCACCTTCACTGCAAATGGAAGACTCCAATTCAAACAAGGAAAACATGGCAACCTTGTTTACAATTTGTGAGTGTGCTTAGCCTTTCTCTTCTGGAAATGGTGTAAAGGGCTGTCATTGCTGAGAAGTTAGTCACAAAATCTGGCATTGATTAAGGAAGTAGAGAAAGTAACTAGACTTTGGAATGTCCTTTGCCTTTTTATTGTTGTTTATATTAACGTGGGGCCTTTCCTTGAAGTAACCCACAACATACTTTTGTTCGCATCCTTCTAAAGAAAGGAAACATGAAATAGTCGTTTCTGTATTTTATAGCTAAGCTTAGCTCAACAATATAGAGAATGGTAGCGGTACACTTCAGTAAAGCTAGTCTGTGACACATATTTTTCAATATAAGACCCACAAAACATTAAAGCATTTTTATTTTTATAGCCCTATGGGAAAAGGTAGGTGGATATAAATGCGCTTTTTCCCTTTGCTTAGAATGCATATAAATTACTGTAATTGGGCATGTAGAAGGTCTTTTTTAGTGGGCAAGGACAAGGATCATATAAAAACAGTCGTCTGTTGGTGTCACTGCGTGTTTCATTCATGCAGGAAATGTGTTGTACACCCCGACCTCTGTGATAGATGCTAGGGACAAAATGTTCTGCAGAGGAGTCCAAAGTCTGATGGGAAGCAGAGGGAAGTAAACAAGCTATTGCAGTACAGTGTAAGTGTGACGATGGTTAAACGCTGTGCTCAGGTATCCCTGAAGGGGAAGACTAGAATCAGAGGAGGTGGTGTGCATGTTACCACCTTCCTTGTGTGCAAGGAAGATGCAGGCATTCGGGAGTCAGGAACACAGGAGTTATCCGTAAGGACATAGAACTAAAATAACCATGAGTGGTTCAGAATTTCTGAAGCATAAAAAGGGAGGTGATGCAGAGCAGGGTCACACGATGAGAAAAATAGTCGGAATGCAAAGGTTCTCTGAGGACCAGCTGGGAGTTGGGGTTGGGTTCTCCTGCAGTGATTGAAGTTGCTAGAAGCATGTAGGCTGTGAAGGTGGTGCCATCATTTGAGAGAGGAGTTTCTAGCCTGTGGTAGAGATAATTAGGATGAGGGAGAGTAGAGAGAACTCAGGAGAGCTTGCTGATTAGATGAAGTGGCAGGGGTGGGGGAGGTGGTGTTGAAAACCCTGGTTTGCGGCATGGGGTACTAGGTAGATAGGATAATGAAAGGTGCAGGATGATTCGGTTTTTTAAGGAGTGATGGTGAGTCCGTTTTAGACATGTTGATGTCAGTGTCTGTAAGATACCTGGTAGAGATGTCTAAGGAAAAGTCAGACTCAACTGAGTCTGAACTCCAGGAGAGAGCGCTGTGTCTGGAAATATGGATCATCAACACTGAGATGTTAGCTATGACCGAGTAAGTGGGGTGAAATCATGCAGTCACAGTGTGGACTGAGCAGAGGGTTAGAAATGGCGCGTGCAGCAGCAGAGGAAGAGCCCCCAAAGCAGACTGAACAGGAGGAGGCTCAAGACGGTGTGGTGCGTTAACCTTTCAAAGTGTCATAATTTTAAAATATTTTAATCTAAGAATGTAATTAGTGTAAGGCTCATTAATGTAACAAAAGATAAAAGGTGGCCTAAATATGCCAATTACTCCTTAAGTGGGTAAGCAGAACCTCTTTTTAAAATAAGATATAATTGACATATACATTATGATGTATACAATTGGATGTGTTTTAGTATATTCACAAGGCTGTGAACCGTCCAACTTCAAAACATTGTAATCAGGGCTAGCGCTGAGGAGCAGCAGGTTAAACCCTGGCCTGAATTGCCGGCATCCCATATGGGCACCGGTTTGAGACCCAGCAGCTCCATTCCCTATCCAGCTCTGTGCTGTGGCCTGGGAAAGCAGTAGAAGATGGCCCAAGTCCTTGGGCCCCTGCACCCACGTGGGAGACCTGGAAGAAGCTCCTGGCTTCGGATTATGGCCATCCTGCCATCCTAGTGGGAATGAAGTGACGTCTCATTGTGGCTTTAATTTGCCTAGTGACTAATTATCGTAAGCATCTTTCATGCACTTACTAATTTTTGGTATATCTTCTTTGGAGAAAACACTGTTTTTTGCAGTATGAAAATTGAATTTGGAGATGGTTCCTTTTCTTGCGAGAATCCATTCTCATAGTATGATGAGTCCAAGGATTTTTTTTTTGAAAGGCACAGTTAGAGAAAGGGAGAGACAAAGATATCTTCCATCTGTTCACTCTCCAAAGAGAGCAATGACCGGAGCTGGGCTGGTCTGAAGCCAAGAGCCTGGATCTTCTTCCAGGTCTCCCACGTGGGTGCAGGGGCCCAAGCACTTGGGCCATCTTCTGCTGCTTTCTCAGGCACATTAGCAGGGAGCTGGATCGGAAGTGGAGCAGCCAGGACTCAACCTCTGCCCGTATGAGACACTGCATGAGGATGCTTAACCTTCTATGCCACACCTCAGCCCCAGTAATTGGCATTTCAATAAACCGCGTGATAACTGGTAGTCTACTTGAAGGAAACATATTTGTGTCTCTTACATTTGCTCTCTGCAGGGTGTACTCTGTGTGACCGAGCCTATCCCTCAGACTGTCCTGATCATGGCCCAGTGACTTTTGTTCCTGACACTCCAATAGAGAGCAGAGCAAGGCTTTCTCTCCCAAAGCAGCTTGTCCTCCGCCAGTCAATTGTGGGAGCAGAAGTTGGTAAGCAACTTGGAACCATAAAGCCCCATCAGGTCTCGTCTCTGTAGGGCAGAGTCATGAAAGTGGATATGTATAATCTGCTGATGTCAGTGTATGGCGTAAGATTCAGAGTATTTGTCTTGTCTGTGGTGACAGCAGTAAATCATGTTGAAAGTTTATTGGGAAACTTGGCCTTTCTTAGAATCAAAATTGGATAGAGAGGATTGGCCCAAGTCTGTGAAGACTTTATTTTCAGCTATCTTGTTTACTAACAATTATTCTAACAACACTTGAAGCTAATTTCTTAAATAGAAACATGGAAATTCACCACTGATGACCTTATAAAAGGTATATAAATTTATGTATTCCTTAGGACTAAGGAATATAGCTGTTAGAATCTACTTACTCATGTTTGAATTTAACATGTCTGCTGAGTTACTGTGCCATTTCTTAAGAAATTAGAGGCCAGCGCTGTGGCTCACTAGGCTAATCCTCCACCACTAGAACACAGGCACACCAGGTTCTAGTCCCGGTCGGGGCGCTGGATTCTGTCCTGGTTGCTCCTCTTCCAGTCCAGGTCTCTGCTGTGGCCCAGGAAGGCAGTGGAGGATGGCCCAAGTGCTTGGGCCCTGCACCCGCATGGGAGACCAGGAGGAAGCACCTGGCTCCTGGCTTCAGATCAGCACGGTGCACTGGCTGCAGTGGCCATTTGGGGGGTGAACCAACGGAAGGAAGACCTTTCTCTCTGTCTCTGTCTCTCTCACTATCTAACTCTGCCTGTCCAAAAAAAAAAAAAAAAAAAAGAATAAGAAATCAGATATGTTATTCTTTCAACTGCAGCTTTGGCCTAGGTTGTTTGACAGTGCTAAAGGGCTTCGATGTCATAGAACAGTGATTTAAGCACAAAAGTTTTTAGAAGCTTGATTTACTTTATAGTAACTTCTTTATATTTTTATGGTAGAATGATTTTTTTGTTCTTCCTTGTTTTTTAACTCCAAAATAATATATTTTAAGATATAGTCATATTCCTTATGTATAAAACTAGAATTTCAGGAGTTTCTGATATTGGTTCTTACCCTGTGTTTATTCTGAGCCCCATTTAATCTGTTCATTACATGTTATACGTTCATAGGCTAGGATCACAAGGCTAACTAACTCAGGATTGCTGGCATATTCTTCAGATTCTTGCCTGTGAATTATTGATTGTGTAGCTGGTGTCCTTCCACTGATAGGTGTGTGGACTGGAGAAACCATTCCTGTGCGAACTTGCTTTGGGCCTCTAATTGGCCAGCAGAGTCACTCCATGGAAGTAGCAGAATGGACAGACAAGGCGGTTAACCACATCTGGAAGGTCAGTATTGATGAATCTGTGACTTTTTGCTGTTTTTATTATGATGAAGTATAAAAAAGTGATAAAGTCAAAATTAGCTAGAGGGGCTGGCACTGTGGTATGGCAGTAAAGCTGCTGCCTGCAGTGCCAGCATCCCATATGGGCGCCGGTTCAAGTCCCGGCTGCTCCACTTCCGATCTAGCTCTCTGCTATGGCCTGGGAAAACAGTAGTAGGTGGCTCAAGTCCTTGGACCCCTGCACCCATGTGAGAGATGTGGAAGAAGTTCCTGGCTCCTGGCTTTGGATCGGCACAGCTCCAGCCATTGCAGCCATTTGAGGAGTGAACCAATGGATGGAAGACCTCTCTCTATCTCTGCCTTCCAAATAAATAAATAAATCTTAAACAGAACAAAAGCAAAATGAGCTAGAACTGATAGGAGCCATTCATTTGTAATTTCTTTAATATTACATCCTTTCTGTTAGTCTTGGTAGCCAGATTATACAGTGATACACCAGCTGTCGAAAATGAAGGATTGAGTCTGGCGTTGTGGCACAGTGGATTGAGGCAATGCCTGCAATGCTGATATCCCATATGGATGCTGGTTTGAGTCCCAGCTGCTCCACTTCCAATCCAGCTCTGCTAGTGCTCCTGGGAAATCAGTGAAAGATGATCTAAGACCTTGGGCCCCTGCACCTACATTGGATACCTGAATGGACTTCCAGGCTCCTGGCTTTGGCCTGGCCTGGCCCTGTTGCAGCCATTTAGGAAGTGAACCAGCAAATGGAAGATCTTTTGCTCTGTAACTCTCTTTCAAAATAATGAATAAATCTAAAGGAAGGAAGGAAAGAAAGAAGAAAGAAAATAGGATAAACTGTTTTAGTCTCTGTTTTGTGAGAAAATCCAATGGTTTTAATAATTTTACACATTTTAGTTAACTAATGGCATCTGAGGCCAAAGACTTTGTTTATATGATCACAATCTTAATTAAAAAAAAAAAAGGTTTATGTATTTATTTGAAAGGTAGAGTTACCTGAGGGGGTGGGAGGGAGGAGGTCTTCTATCTGCTGGTTCTCTCCCCTTGTGGCTGCAATAGCTGGAGCTGGGCCAAACTGAAGCCAGGAGCCAGGAGTTTCTTCTGGGTCTCCCACACGGTCACAGAGACCCAAACACTTGGGCCATCTTCCTCTACTTTCCTAGGCCTGCGCCTGGCGCCACAAGCAGCAGCTTTACCCACTGCACCACAGCGCCAGCCCTGACAGTCTTATTTTGTAATCAACTAAAACATTCCTCAAGCATTCAGTTTGGGGGACAATTCTAGAATTAAAAGCTAAGATTGTTTCTGTTGTTTCCCATAAACTGCTGTTTGTATGTTTACATAGATTCTCAGTCAATCAATTGGGAATGATGCTTGCAAAATTGAAGTGAGAGGAAGATGAATCTTGTGATAATTGGAGAGGTAGGGTGCCACTGTCATGGAGGCCGTAACTTTGAGGTCCAAAGTAGAAGACAGAAGAATGCCTGGTCTAACTGGAAAAGTAACGGGAAGGCATGGTTCTCTGCCCATAGTAGAAATTCCGTTATTCAGTGTCTGCTGCGTGGTAGGTGATGAAAGAGGATAAGTAGAACAGTGTTTGGTCTTCTCCAGCCAGCATTTTCATACTGGAAAATGAGGAAATGAGATGATTACTGGCTTAAATTTACGTTAGTATTTTATCACTAACAGTTCATTTGACATGGCATTTGCTTTCTGCTGACAGATATATCATAATGGTGTCTTAGAATTCTGCATCATTACAACTGACGAAAATGAATGTAATTGGATGATGTTTGTGCGCAAGGCCAGGTAAGAGTGATCTTGGGTGAGACAATTACCATTCAGATATGTTTCAGTAGGAAGCTTCATAGAAAGTAGGGAAGAGCCAAAAGAGCCAGTTTACACTGGTATCTAGTCATACTTCAAACCTAAGGCTTTTCATTTCTTCACTCCAGGAGTGGTTGATGGAGAGTATAAATAAGAATACAAAAGACTGTCCTTTTTTTTTTTTTTTTTGACAGGCAGAATTAGTAAGAGAGAGAGACAGAGAGAAAGGTCTTCCTTTTTCCGTTGGTTTACCCCCCAAGTGGCCTCTACGGCCGGCGCGTTGCAGCCTGCGTGCTGCGCCAATCCAAAGCCAGGAGCCAGGTGCTTCCTCCTGGTCTCCCATGCGGGTGCAGGGCCCAAGGACCTGGGCCAACCTCCACTGCACTCCCAGGCCACAGCAGAGAGCTGGACTGGAAAAGGAGCAACCGGGTAGACTGTCCTTTTTTAAGAGCTGCTTATTCAGCTTACTAATGAAATAAAAATTATATAATTACCATTGAATTTGCAAGTTGATGCCTTCTCTTTATATTGGTTGTTAGTCAACCTCCTAGGCTGTTATTGGAGTGAATTCTTGTTCACCTAGCTCTGTGTTTGCCCTATTTTTTTTTTTTTTTTTGACAGGCAGAGTTAGAGACAGAGACAAAGGTCTCCCTCTGTTGGTTCACCCCCTAAATGGCCACTACGGCCGGCGCACTGCGCTGATCCGAAACCAGGAGCCAGGTGCTTCCTCCTGGTCTCCCATGCAGTGCAGGGCCCAAACAGTTGGGCCATCCTTCACTGCCTTCCTGGGCCACAGCAGAGAGCTGGACTGGAAGAGAGGAGCAACCAGGACAGAATCTGTCGCCCCAGATGGGACTAGAACCCAGGATACCGGCGCCACAGGCAGAGAATTAGCCTAGTGAGCCACGGTGCCAGCCCTGTCCTATTGTTTTTTGAGACTTTGTTTTATTTACTTTTTACTTCCAATAACAAACTATCTGACCGTAAAAGATAATCAGCTAATGTACTGAAGTAGGAATCTGTAAGTCCCTCCCAGTATGTAGGATAGGGAATTACAGAATGATCCACAGAGAATAGTTCTGTGCAAGCTTTCAATAAGGATTCTATTAGAAGGAGATATGATTCATCTAGTGTGCATTTCAGAGTAAATATGTGTGATCTATTTAATGATATCTTAGGAACCGGGAAGAGCAGAATTTGGTGGCTTATCCCCATGATGGAAAAATCTATTTCTGTACCTCCCAAGATATCCCTCCTGAAAATGAACTGCTTTTTTATTACAGTCGAGATTATGCTCAGCAAATCGGTAAGTTTTTCTTTTTGTAAAGATTTATTTATTTATTTGAAAGAGTTACAGAGAGGTAGAAAAAGAGAGACAGGTCTTCAATCCACTGATTCACTCCCTTAATGGCTGCAGCAGCCAGAGCTGAGCCGATCCAAAGCCAGAAGCCAGGAGCTTCTTCTGGGTCTCCCATGTGGGTGCAGGGGCCCAAGCACTTGGGCGATCCTCCACTGCTTTCCCAGGCTCATTAGCAGGGAGAGGGATTGGAAGCAGAGCAGCCGGGACCTGAACTGGTACCCATATGGGATGTTGGTACTTCAGGCCAGGGCTTTAACCTACTGTGTCACAGCGCTGGCCCCAACAGATTGCTAAGTTAGTATAAGATTTGTTTGTGATGAATATAACATAAAATCACCATGAACCCAGAATAAAGTTTTGCTAATGATTTATATGTCAGCTGAGGTAATCATGAGCTTTGTGTGGAGGGACTTAAAAAGTTCATAGAAAATGGAATTAAAAGATAAAACTAAACAAACATAGACTTTATTTCTCAATGTTAGCTCCACAAGTTCAGGGTCCTTCTGTAAGCAGTGGAAGCCAGGAGCCATTTAGTCCATTGCCAAAGCACTGGGTGCCCTAGAGCTTTTGCTGTGTCGTTGCAGCTGTTTTATGTTAACTGAAGAGCAATGCACACACTGGAAGCATTTTTTTCTAAGAGTCAGGAACAAAAAGAGGTCACAGAGGTCCAGCTGGGGTCTGTAAATATCAGATGCCTAATGATTTCCCATTGACACTTTGGCAGAATTGCCCTTGTTTAATGAGAGGAAGGAACAGAAGTTTTGTCATGGTAGAGGACTCTGGTGAAGCTGACCAGGTGTTTTTCTGTGAAAATTTTGCTAACCTTCTCCAGGCATTGTTTAATAAGCAATTTTTTTTTTAAAGATTTATTTATTTACTTGAAAGTCAAAGTTACACAGAGAGAGAAGGAGAGGCAGAGAGAGAGAGAGAGAGGTCTTCCATCTGCAGGTTCACTCCCCAGATGGCCACAACAGCTGGAGCTGCGTGGACCTGAAGCCAGGAGCCAAGAGCTTCCTCCAGGCCTCCCACACGGATGCAGGGGCCCAAGGACTTGGGCCATCTACTGCTTTCAACCAGGCCATAGCAGAAAACTGGATCGGAAGTGGAGCAGCCGGGACCTAAACTGGCACCCATATGGGATGCCGGCGCTTCAGGCCAGGGCTTTAACCCGCTGCGCCACAGCACCGGCCCCTAATAAGCAATTATTGTTCTTGGCTCTCCAGAAAGTCAGCAAGCAAAATACCTGAAGCACTCTAACTGTTCCCATCACCTCTGTTTTGACAACTCTGCTTTTGCCCTGATTAGATGACTTCTCCCTCTTGGTTTCCATTGTTTTGATTGTGCTTTGTCATCGGGACGCTACTGGTAAAGCCCTGTTTCCCCTCCCTTTACAGTTCTCTAAAGAAATGCTTCAGGATCTTCATCCCACTTGTTTAAAATTTCCATTGAGAGCTCTGCTCTTGTTTGCAGTTGATTTGGATGCAGCAGTTTTGGCACCCATCCAGCAGAAAGTTTGCTCCACTGTGATTTTTCAGACAGAATTGTGTAAGCTGAACCAGTTGATGTCTGTAGTGTTGGCTGTTGTTTCGACTTTTTATTGTTGGTTCTCTTCAGTTAGGACATGAACAAGATTAGTTTTTTCTTTTTCTTTTTTTAAGATTTATTTACTTGAGAGTCAGAGTTACAGACAGAGGGAGATACAGACAAGAGAGATCTTCATCAGCTAATTCACTCCCCAAGTGGCCGCAGTGGCCAGAACTGGACCGATCTGAAGCCAGGAGCTTCTTCTGGGTCTCCCACACAGGTGCAGATGCCCAAGGACTTGGGCCATCTTCCAGTGCTTTCCCAAGCCATAAGCAGAGAGCTGGATCAGAAGAGGAGCAGCTGGGACATGAACCGGCGCCCATATGGGATGCTGGCCCCACAGGCAGAGGCTTAAGCTGCTGCACCACAACGCCGGCCCAAGATTAGTTTTCTCCTTCCAGATGGATGTGGATGGTCTGCTGCTGTGGGGTTCAGCTTCTAACCTCAGCATTGTCTCTCTCGTTCCTTCTTCAAGTGAGCTAACTGTTTGTAAACTTGATTTTGGAGGGAGAGGATATTGGCCCCATAAACTTGGCACAAAGTATCAGTGACTGCACCAATTCTTTTTTTTTTTTTTTTTTTTTGAAAGATTCATTTATTTATTTGAGAGGCAGGGAGAGAGGGAAAGAGAGGTCTTCCATCTGTTGGTTCATTCTCCGGATGGTTGCAACGGCTGAAGCTATGCTGATCCAAAGCCAGGAGCCAGGAACTTCTTCCCAGTCTCCCATGTGGATACAGGGGCCCAAGGACTTGGGCCATCTTCCACCACCTTCCCAGGCCACATTAGATTAGAGAGCTGGATCAGAAGTGGAACAGCCGGGACTTGAACCAGCGCCCATATGGGATGCTGACACTGCAGGCAGTGGCACCTCCACCCCCCTGCTTTTATTGTTTTAGATTTATTTATTTATTTGAAGGGCAGAGTTAGAGCGAGGGGGAGCCAGAGAAAGATCTTCCATTGGCTGTTTCACTGCCCAAATGGTGGCAATGGCTGGGGCTGCCTAAGCTGAAGCCTGGAGCTAGGAACTTCATCTAGGTTTCCCACGTGGGTGGCTAGGGCCCAAACACTTGAACCATCTTCCACTGCTTTTCCCTGGCCACTAGCAGGGAGCTGGGTCGGAAATGGAGCAGCCATGACATGAACCAGCACTCGGGATTTTGGCGTCACAGATGGTGGCTTAACCCTCTACTCCACAGTGCTGGCCCAGTTGCACCAGTTCTTCTGTCTCAGTTTCACCATCAGTTTGAAGTTTGTTCCTGCTTCACTTTTTGCAGAATTCATGTTTTTTTTTTTTTTTTTTTTTTTTTTTTGACAGGCAGAGTGGATAGTGAGAGAGAGAGACAAAGAGAAAGGTCTTCCTTTTGCTGTTGGTTCACTCTCCAATGGCTGCCACGGCTGGCGCGCTGCGGCTGGCGCACTGCGCTGATCCAAAGGCAGGAGCCAGGTGCTTCTTCTGGTCTCTCATGCGGGTGCAGGGCCCAAGCACTTGGGCCATCCTCCACTGCCTTCCCGGGCCACAGCAGAGAGCTGGCCTGGAAGAGGGGCAACCGGGACAGAATCCGGCGCTCCGACTGGGACTAGAACCCGGTGTGCTGGCGCCGCTAGGTGGAGGATTAGCCTACTGAGCCGTGGCGCTGGCCTCATGTTGTTCTGATAGGGGCTCTTTTCAAACCGATATCTTAAGTTTTCTTAGTTCCTCAAATTAGATCCTGTACAAACATATTACAACAAGTTTGTACACATTTATTTTGGTGTAATAATTTTGAAGTTCCTATGTAGTTTTTCATAATACATATTTCCATGAATTTTTTGAAAACCTCTTTATACATAAAAAGCAGGCTGTTAGCCTTATATTTTCAATGTTAAAATCTGTGAGGGTCTTCACAAGCTGATTGTTAGTCAGCAGACAGTATTTGTGAAATGATCTTTATGCTAGGACTTTGATTTGTGGCTTTGGAGTTACTAAGGCAGCTTTGCAAATGAGTGCCATTGAGATGAAGTTTGTTAAAGACAGTGAATTCCTGTGATTTGATTTTACCTGCATAACCTTTCTCTTTGTGTCATGGTGTTTAAGAGTTTGTGCTATAAAATCTAAATACTTTGGGAATGAGGCCTGATAATCCAGTATTTACTTTGTTCCTGGTTTCTTATGCAAAGATACTGGAGATAGAGCATTGATTTTAGTTTTACAGGTGGTGGAAAAGTTAGAAATTTTGGTAGAAGGGGGAATTGCCAGCAGCAGTTGTTAATATTGAGAATAAGTTTTAAAACTTAAGCATTGGGAGACATTAAGTCTTTTTATTTTTTTTTAAGGTGTTCCTGAACACCCAGATGTGCACCTCTGTAACTGTGGCAAGGAGTGCAGTTCTTACACAGAGTTCAAAGCTCATCTGACCAGTCACATCCATAACCATCTACCTAGCCAGGGCCACAGCAGCAGCCACGGGCCAAGCCACAGCAAAGAAAGGAAGTGGAAGTGCTCCATGTGCCCGCAGGCTTTTATCTCTCCTTCCAAACTGCATGTCCACTTTATGGGTCACATGGGAATGAAGCCCCACAAGTGTGATTTCTGTAGCAAGGCCTTTAGCGATCCCAGCAACCTGCGGACCCACCTCAAGATACATACAGGTAAGGTGTTTGGACCACTAGAGGGGACTGCGTGCAGCACTTGCAGATGCAGTAATGGCTTTGCAGAGAGATGGTATTGCAGCTGGAGTTGTGCTGTGAGCTCAGAAAACAGTCGAGGTGGCTGTTGGCAGGACTCGCTGGGTGATAAGCCTTAGTGAGATAACGGAAGTTCCTTGGAGGGTGTTACTTCCAGTTACTAAGATGCTGCGTGTTCCAGGCATTGTTCTCACCAGAGTTGGAAGGTGCTTGGAAAAGGGCAGTTAATCAGGAACTTGTCAGTGTGTTTGGGCTTAAAGCAAAGGGGATTCTGTAGGAGAACCTGAGTTTTCTGTTCGAGCTCACACCTGGTCACACGCCTGTTTTTCTCCTTTGATCTCGCTCCATAAACACTGCCAAGATTTGGTTTTTGAGCTTCTGTTTTCTAAATCGCATGCAAACGACCCCCCCCCCCTTTTTTAACTATATAGTTTTTCATACATACTGCAGAATAACTGGTGAAGCTTTAGCTTTCTTGGTTGGATCGTTAGTTCTTTAAATCTTCAGAAAAAAGGTTTCTTCCTCATCCTTCTGCATTAATCCTGAGTGTTTGACCAGAGAGCAGAGGATACACAAAAGCCTGAAATTCTGACTAGACTTTAACAAGAGATTGGTCAAATCCTTTTTTTTTTTCTTTTAAGATTTGTTTATTTATTGAATGTCACCGTTAACAGAGAGAGTGAGTCGATCTTCCATGCACAGATTCGCTCCCCATATGGCCACAATGACCAGGGCTGGCCCGTACTCAAGCCAGGAGTCATAAGCTTCAGATTTCCTGCGTTGGTGGCAGGGGCCCAACCACTTGGGTCATCTTCCGCTTTTCTCAGGCCATTAGCAGTGGACTGGATTGGAAGTGGAACAGCTGGGACCCAAACGAGTGCCCATCCGGACGGGATGCCAGGGCTTCACCTGCTATGCCACAACGTGGGTTCCAACCCAACTTTTTAGAGAGATCCTGTTTCTGAGTTCTTGGATTTTTATTTCACCCCTGGTTTTTGAGGTCATGTTATGTGTTAAAAAAGAGAGCAAGAGTGAAAACATGTTTGCCAGGGTGGTCATTTGGCATAGCAGTTAAGATGCCTGCATCCCACCTTGGAGATCCTGGCTTCAATACCGGGTGCAGCTCCGGCTTTCTGCCAGTGCAGATCCTGGGAGGCCTCAGTGAGTCTCCTGTAGTTGGGTTTCTGCCACCCAAATGGGAGAACTGGATTGAGTTCCTGGCTCCTGATGTTGGTCCTCTAACTGTTGTGGGCATCTGAGATGTGTGAACCAGAGGGTGGGAGTGCACGCTCTGTCTTCTCTCTGGCCTTTGTCTCTCTGCCTCTCAAATTAATAAATTAAAAAAAGTTTTTAATTTTGCCTACATAGTATGGAGAGTCCTTTAGAAACTGGAAGTAGAGCTGCTGTATGATTTTAGTAGTCCCACTGCTGTTTATATGTCTGAATGAAATGAAATAAATTATCAGAGATACGTGTACTACCATGTTTATTGCAGCACTATTCATAGTAAGATAGAGAATCAAGCATCAGCAGATGAGTGGATAAAGAAAATGTCATATGCACACACAGAGTATTATTCAACTGCAAAAAATAATGAAATTTCATTATTTGAAGTAAAACGTTTGGAACTGAAGGTCAATGTTACTTGAAATTAGCCAGACGTAGTCAAATATTTTCTCTCACACAGAAGTGAAGTAGAAGTCTGAACATAAACTGATTACTACTGGCTAGGAGGGGTGGGAGTTTGGATAACAGGTACCGAATCGGTTAGATGAAAGGAATGTAACTAATGTTACACAGCACCATGGGGCAACTATGGTTGGCAGTATCCTATTATGTATTTTCTCAGTAAACAAGAAAGGAGCTCAGAGGCTCCATTCACAAAGTAACAACAAAGGAAATGTTAATTATCTTAATTATGATCTGTACACATTGCAGACATGTATTGAAATATCATACTCTGCCCTATAAATATGTATAGTTCATATAAGTAAAAAGGAAAAAAGTTTGCCTGTAGACAAGTATTAGACTTCATGATTATTCTTTTGTTTAATAGGTAGGGCACCAGTATTATTTTTTTCAAATTTTATATGTCAGCTATAATAAATAATAATGTGATATACGCACATAAATTTAGGAGGTCAGCTTTGTTAGCTTTCCTAGCTTTAGTTGCAGAATGTGAATTCAGTGATTCTGAGTGGTTTTCGGGAGACAGCCCCAGGCAGCGCCTTCCCAGTGTGCGTCAGCTCTGCTTGATTTCTGCCTCTGCTGCCGTCGCATGCCCGTCCGTGCCTGTGCCTGTCTGTGTCTTGACACCTTGATGACGCGGGTTCACTTGCAGGTCAGAAGAACTACAGGTGCACTTTGTGTGACAAGTCTTTCACCCAGAAGGCTCACCTGGAGTCTCACACGGTCATCCACACGGGCGAGAAGAATCTCAAGTGTGACTACTGCGACAAGTTATTCATGCGGAGGCAGGACCTCAAGCAGCATGTGCTCACCCACACGCAGTAAGTGGCCCTCCAGCCAGCAGCTTGCCCAGTGAGCGGCCCCGGCCACGCCCACCGCCGCGGGGGCTGGGGAGTGCTGACTTCGCTCCTTGGAAAACACTGCCTGTGTCCCACAGAGCCGAGCAAAAATCAGAACATCGAGACCTTGACTTTATCCTGGAAGAGTTCACCATAATCTCATTTGTTTTTTAATTTAACAGATATTTTTCTGTGCCTCCATGATGCCTAGCATTATGGTAGGAGGTAGAAATAGAGATTAAAGATGTGTCCTTGTCTTTATAAAGAGCTGGATGTTCAGTAAGAGAAACAAAGTAACAAAGTGGCGTCCTATTAGAAAAAGCACTGCCTACTGAAAAACCCTGGCAGAGGGGCACCTGTGCCAGCCTGGGGGGTCTGGGACAGCTTCTTGGTAGCATGAGCTCAATCATAAGGAAGATAAATCATTCAGGGAGGCAAGAGGAAAGAGTCAGAATGGTGTTCTAGATGGGAGCGTGAACGCAGAAAGGACTGGAATTCAGGTGGCCATGTGAGGTTAGAACATCGTGTGCATGAGAGGGTGATGGAGAGACAGCGGCCATGTCACGGAGGGCCTTCGTCCTACTAAGAAAATTAAATTCATTCTGGAAACAGTGGGGAGTTGCTGAAGCATTTGCCATGCCCTCCACCACCCTGCAAACCAGGAACTGTTCTGTGCTGTGTGTGTCTAGTTGTGAAAAAACTAACCAGCCCTTAATGCTTTAAACCATTTTAACGTCGTATTGAGTAGTGTTAGTTACATTCATGTTGTGCCGGCGTGGAAGACGTGTTGTGAGATTTCCCTTCTGTAGAGATGATTGTACCAGCAGGGCACAGGGTGATTGAGAGAGGACAAGGCCAGACGTTTGGAGAGACCGGTTAGGGGCTTCCGGCACAGAGCCAGGTATATGCAATGTGCAGGCTGCATTGGTCACAGTGGTGGTTGAGAGAAGAAACAGATTTTGTGGTCTCGAGTTTGCAACTTGTGTTAGAAGTGGCAGCCGTGAGGTCAGCCTCCGTCTTCACAGGAGCCTTCTCTTCCTGCTATAGAGCCTGCGTAAGCACCGCCCTCATAGCAGCTCCGTGTCTGCTTCCTAACCAGGCCAGTCTCCTGGGGCCTTGGGGTGCAGACAGACGCTGTGGGGCCTTCCTCTTATTTATTTATTTTTTTGCAAGTCAGAGTTACACAGAGAGAGGAGAGGCAGAGAGAGAGAGAGGCCTTCCATCTGCTAGTTCACTCCCCAGTTGGCCACAATGGCCGGAGCTGGGCCATTCTGAAGCCAGGAGCCAGGAGCTTCCTCTAGGCCTCCCACGTGGGTGCAGGGGCCCAAGGACTTGGGCCATCTTCTTCTGCTTTTCCAGGCCACAGCAGAGAGCCGGATTGGAAGAGGAACAGCGAGATTAGAATCCGTGCCCATTTGGGATGCTGGCGCCCCAGGCCAGGGCTTTACGCCACAGCGCCCGGCCCCGGTGCCTTCCTTTTGTTAGCAGGAAATAATCCCCTCATGGAGGCCCTGCTCGCACAGGGAAGCCTACTCACCTCCCTGGTGCCCCTCCCGCTGCGGCTGAGAGCTTCAGCCTGTGCACGGAAGGGGAGCGAGCGTTCAGTCCCGAACACTGCTTGGTACAATCACATGGGGAGTGTGGAAAGCCCTGGTGCCAATACCTCTGGGGACCTCCTAGCCTGGAGCGTTTTAAAAAGTTGTGCAAGTGACTCTAACGTCCAGCAGGGCTGAGAACCGGAGTTCTTCCAGTAGAAAGACTGCCTTCCACAGACTGCCGGCTGGAGACGTTGCTTCTCCTTGAGTTCCACAGTTGATACGGTTTTATGGGGAAGTTTTGCTTCATCAAGCTGATGTCAGCCTCTTTCCTTTTCATTCTGCATACATACCCAGAAGTCACACTTGCGTGTCAGTATCCCTTTAAATCGTCAGCCTTTCATTCAGCTGATGGTCACCATCAAGTCCCCAATTTTTTTTTTTTTTTTTTTTTTTAAGATTGATGTATTTTATTTGAAAGGCAGAGTTACAGAGAGGCTGAGGTGGAGAAAGAGAGAGGTCTTCCATCCATTGGTTTACTCCCCAGATGGCCACAATGGCCGGAGATGTACCAATCTGAAGCCAGGAGCCAGGAGTTTTTTCCGGGTCTCCAGGCAGTGCAGGGGCCCAAGGACCTGGGCCATCTTCTGCTTTCCCAGGCCACAGCAGAGAGCTGGATCAGAAGTGGAGCAGCCAGGACTGGAACTGGCGCCCACATGGATGCCGGCACTGCAGACAGTGGCCCCTCATGTCCCCATTTAACTCTCTCTTCATCAGACCAGATGTCCCTGGTTTCTGCCACTTACATCACCTAGGTGTGTGTCACAGTGGTGCCCAGCAGTGAGCACGGGATTCCAGATGTGATCTGTGCAGTGAAGAGTGATGGGGACTGGCCTCCAGTGACCTTGGCTCTGTTTCTTCAGGTGATGCTAACTGTGCACTTACTTGCCTTGGGCTACATCAACACAGTGCAAATTCTGTTGGGATTAGTTGTATAATTCTTTCTTGACATTTACATTGAGAATTGACTCCATCAGATACTGACCAACAAAAACAGTTGTCTTAGCAAATGTGGATGAGGTAAAGCAGTAAGTAAGCCTCTTTACCAAACTCCCTCGCAGGAAAAGGAGTTTTTGCACTGTCAGAACATAGCTATGTAAATTATATAACAAACACTGTTCACCCAAAATATGTTTGAATGGGATGCTAGGCTTCCTGTGGAGATCATTGCTGAAATTTCTAAATGTTTATTTTTACTTATGGGCATTTCAAAGGAGGTATAGCAGTATTTTCATTTTTTGTTTTTCTTAAAAAGAAAACTGAAGCTGTAAATCCAAATACAACAGAAATGTTTCTTCCGCAGTGTTCCTGAGAGTGCAGCAGGGACTGGCACTGCCCTGCCCTGCCCCAAAGAAAGAGAAACTTAGGGGGAAGAGCAGTGACGCCTGCTTCCTGGGGCATTTCTTACGGCTGTTTTATGCCTTTACGATACATTTCTCCAGCTTTGTGCATCCAGCCTTCACAAAGCAGTTCTGGGCCGGCACCGCGGCTCACTAGGCTAATCCTCCGCCTGCGGCGCTGGCACCCCGGGTTCTAGTCCCGGTCGGGGCACCGGATTCTGTCTCGGTTGCCCCTCTTCCAGGCCAGCTCTCTGCTGTGGCCCGGAAAGGCAGTGGAGGATGGCCCAAGTACTTGGGCCCTGCACCTGCATGGGAGACCAGGAGAAGCACCCGGCTCCTGGCTTAGATCAGCGCAGTGCGCCGGCCGCAGCAGCCATTGGGGGGTGAACCAACAGTAAAAAGGAAGACCTTTCTCTCTCTCTCTCTCTCTCTCACTGTCCACTCTGCCTCTCAAAACAAACAAACAAACAAACAAAACAGTCCTGATGGTGCCAGTGTCCACTGGGCAACTCAGCTGCACACGTCCAGCACTCAGCTCTTCTCCACAAACTTGGTTTCCCAGTCTTCAGCAGCTTAATGATTGGCACACCGTGCACCCAGAGGCTCAGGTCAGCACGTACAGTAATCCTTAACTTACCTTTCATTCCTTCATCATTCGACGGTCACTTTGTGCAGACCACTGGTGTCTCGTGTGTGGACCACTTCAGCAGGTCTGCCAGCCACCCTGCGCCCTCTATCAGCTCTGTCCATCCACTCCCCAGCACGGAGACACACACCCCAGCAGTGTATTCTGTCCATACTGACAGAGTTCAGTTCAGACAGAGATCAGAGTGTAGCCATCCGTGTTCAGTGCCCAGTGCTTCCCATCCTTTGTGTTGAGAGGTCTTTGCAGGGCCGGCGCTGTGGCACAATGGGTAAAACCGCTGCTGCAGTGCCAGCATCCCAAATAGGCGCCAGTTCAAGTCCCGGCTGCTGCACTTCCGATCCAGCTCTCTGCTGTGGCCTGGGAAAGTAGTAGAAGATGGCACAAGTCCTTGGGCCCCTGGACCCACACGGGAAACCTGGAAGAAGCTCCTGGCTTCGGATCAGTGCAGCTTCGGCCATTGTGGCCAATTGGAGAGTGAACCAGTGGATGAAAGACCTCTCTCTCTGCACCTCTTGTGTGTAACTCTGACTTTTAAATAAATGCATAAATAAATAAATCTTTAAAAAATAAAAAAGGTCTTTGCCATAGTCTTGAGTCCCCGCATGACGTGGTGGTGTGCTTGGCCACGTCTTCTGCTTCAGCTTGGGGGCTTTTCTCCTCACACTCTGCTGTAGCCACACAAGCCCTCCTCTTGCTGCCACGTGGATATACTCAGACCATTGCACTCTTGGGGCCCATGCACTGTACCGCCTCTGCCTAGAAACTTCTCCCACTCATTCCCGCGAGTCTTCCTCACTCCATTCAGGTTTCTGCCTGAATGTCCTCTCAGAATGGCCTTCCTTGGCTTCCTTTTTTTCTGTAGGCTATGTAACATTATGCTTTTTTTGTTTACCATGTAGCCTCTCCACTAGAATGTAAGCTCCCGGAGGCAGGGACTGTTTACCTTCATCCTGCAGCTGTAAAGTCTGCAGCAGTACCTGGTACATACTCACACTGGTTACCTAGGACATAGGCAGCGGTACCTGGTACACACTCACACTGGTTACCTAGAACATAGGCAGCAGTACCTGGTATACACTCACACTGGTTACCTAGGACATAGGCAGCGGTACCTGGTACATACTCACACTGGTTACCTAGGACATAGGCAGCAGTACCTGGTATACACTCACACTGGTTACCTAGGACATAGGCAGCAGTACCTGGTATACACTCACACTGGTTACCTAGGACATAGGCAGCAGTACCTGGTATACACTCACACTGGTTACCTAGGACATAGGCAGCGGTACCTGGTACACACTCAGACTGGTTACCCAGGACATAGGCAGCAGTACCTGGTACATACTCAGACTGGTTACCTAGGACATAGGCAGCGGTACCTGGTTCATACTCACACTGGTTACCCAGGACATAGGCAGCAGTACCTGGTATACACTCACACTGGTTACCTAGGACATAGGCAGCGGTACCTGGTACATACTCACACTGGTTACCTAGGACATAGGCAGCGGTACCTGGTACACACTCACACTGGTTACCTAGGACATAGGCAGCGGTACCTGGTACATACTCACACTGGTTACCCAGGACATAGGCAGCAGTACCTGGTATACACTCACACTGGTTACCTAGGACATAGGCAGAAGGTCATAGTTCTCATTTGAGCTTCAATGACGCTTTGGACATGTTACTTCATTGTGAATAACCTTTCCTATCTGTGGAATTAAAAAGTTGGATTCAACTGCTGGTTTTAAGACTGCTCCAGAGAATTCCACAGGCTCCCAAATTCCTTGAGCGCCATTCCCTTCAAGGAGAGGAGGATAGAAATGTAACGGAGCCCAAGATTGGGAACTCTCCACTGCACCCCAATACTCCTTCAAGAATTTTAACTGTTCTGTTTCATATAGTCTTTTATTAAGACATAGGGTTCAGTTGCTTAAAAAAAGGTTAAAAATTCCTGGCCTGTTTGCTCTAAAGTTTTCCGATGGGGTTTGCTCAAACCTTGACACTGTTGACATTTTGAGTTAGGTCATTTGTTGTTGGGCTGCCCTGGGTTTTGTAGGATTTCTGGCAGCATCCTTGGCCTTCATCCACCAGCTGCCTGTAGCACTGCCCCTCACCAGTTTGGACAGTCGGGTTCCTCCAGACATTGCCAGAAACATCCACCATGGCAAAGTCGGTCCTGGTTGAGAACTAGTCGGTAAGAGGACAGAAAAATGACACTTTATAAAAGCGGTGCTCAGGGAAATACAAATTAGCACCATAATGAGATCCCTGCATGTATGTGCTGGCTGGTTGGCAGACCTTCCCAAGTTTGAGTATGGAAATTTCTGGTGGGCGTCTGGGGCAACAGGAGCTGTTGCATGGCTGTTGGAGGCGTGCGAGGACACAGCTGCGTGGGGAGATAGTTTGGCATACCCAGGACATATTATGGTCTGTTTGAGAATAATACACCACTCATACAGCAGCTTGAATGAATCTCAAAAGTATCAATGAATGAAAGGAGCCAAATACATAAGAAATATGTACAGGCTGCCTCATTTCCATAGAATTCCGCGGTGGCCGCCTAGCCTGTGCTGTTTAGACTGTGCAGAGGCTCCATAGTTCTTCCGTGTGGCTCCTGTGGAGGAGCCTGCCCCTGGAAGGTCGGAGCTGCCCTGACAAAGGCCTGAGGCGCTGGAGAGCGTGTGTGTGCCTCGGTTGTCATTTGTAGCCGCAACCCTAATGTTGTGTTGTGTTCCTCGTAGGGAACGCCAGATCAAGTGTCCCAAGTGCGATAAGCTGTTCTTGAGAACAAATCACTTAAAGAAGCATCTCAACTCTCATGAGGGAAAACGAGATTATGTGTGTGAGAAATGCACAAAGGCGTATCTGACCAAGTACCATCTCACCCGGCACCTGAAAACCTGCAAAGGGCCTGCCTCCGGTCCCTCGGCACAGGAGGAGGAGGAGGAGGACGACTCGGAGGAGGAAGACCTGGCCGAGCCCGCGGGGACGGAGGACTGTAGGATCAGCAGTGCCATGTATTCAGCAGAGGAGTCCCTGTCTGCCCACAAATAGAAGAGCCTCTGTGGATGGAAAGTGCAAAGGGAAAACCACACATGACAGTTACCTACCACAGTGGCTTTATGTAAAACGGCCTGTGTCTCCTGTCCCGCCAGCAGTCAAAGCAGGCTGGGAGCGGATAAAGCACTTACGGAAGTGTATGCTAATGAAACACTTTAAAGCAGATTGGGAGAGAGAGCATGTGTCCTGTTGTTAAGTGATGGATAGGGAGGAGAGTGTCAACTTTTGAGGTGTGTTTATGTGATCGTCTGGAAGCTGCCTTCTGCCTAGACAAGTCAGAGTTATTCTACATCCTCCCACTATTCCTTTCTCCTCCCAGCCCTGTGGCTGAGTGTGTGCTAAATTTGGTCTCCACCCGACAGCCTTCCCAGTTGCTGATTGTGTTTGGGACTGTGGTGATCCGCACTCATCCAGAACAGGGTGCGACGTGCGCGTAAGGGTGTTAGGCTTCACTGCCGCTAACAGGTGTAGAGCAGCACCTGCAGCCTTGCGAGTTGGCAGTGATCTCGCTTCCCAAATTTTCATCATCCAGTGGGCAGTGATGGAGAGAGAAAAGGAGAGACATGTGGCCACTACCCAGGACCCTGTCTTTGGTGGCAGCCAGGGCGAGTCACCTGGTTCTTGTTTCAGAGAGATCCTTAGAGGTGTGGACATTGTCTCTCTGTCTCCAGTCAAGTCTCCCGCTGTTCACAGGGGACGTGGAGATAGAGAGCCCAGTTCCTGCCTGCTGGATGGTCTCCTGACAGCAAGGACCTGTGGGCTCTCCTGAGATGGGTGGGTACCTCCATGGAAGGGGAGGAAGGGAATGATCTTTGATTTTCCCCATGACACTACTAGAATGTTGCCAGGTCAAAGCTACGAATGACTCGAGGCGCACTGTTGCATTTTCGAGGTTGTCTGTGCTGAAGGACCTCACAGATAAGCATGGAAGATGCCACAGGACTTGACAAGTAAAGAAGGCCCGATGGCCACGCGGTAGGCCAGCTTTCAGCAGCTCAGCCTAGTTACTTGTCCAGCCACGCGGTTGCTGTGTCTCACGTGCATATCCAGCTTTTGGCAAGAAGCAGAAGCAACGCTAAGTGAACAGGGCTGGCGGAACATGCTCTCCTGCTCAAGGCACACCCTTTGGTCTGGAGCAGAGGACTCTGGGAAGGTTTGCTGCTAATGTATTTATGGAATGAATGTATTTCATTCAAATCTGTATTCCTCTAGGAAGGATGAAATTAAAACTTTTTTAAAATACTGGATTCTTTTATTATCTCGTTTTGTGTAGGAAGGGGATGAGTGGGTTGTTTCGAGGAAAATCAAGTACAGTTTGAGTTTCTCTAAGGTTAGGGAGGGAAGAAAAGTGTTGGCGTTGAGGCACAGGTGGTGAAACCGTGGCTGCTTGGTTGGGACACCTGCATCCCGGATCGGAGCGCCTGGCTTTGCGTCCCAGCTCTGCTGCCATAGCTTCCTGCTAACGCACGTGCTGGCAGGCAGCAAATGATGCTCCGCTACCTTATCCCTGCTGCTCACATGCGAGCCCTGGATGGAGCTCCTGGCTCCAGGGTTTGGCCTGGCTGGGCCCTGACTGTTGGGGGCATTTGGGGAGTGAACCAGTGGACACGAGTTTTCTCTCCTCTTGCTCTGCCTTGCAAATATTTTTAAACAGAAGGGAAGAAAGCATTTCATGAGTATTGGTGTTGAGAGATTGTGTTCTAGTTGTTTCTGTGCAGTGTGCTGAGGCAAACTGCAGCCTCCTGCCCTCTCCCCAGAGCAGAGGCTTAACTGCTGCCTTCGGAGGACTGCACGGCCCTGCAGCTGACGGTAGGGGTGCTGCTGACACGGACCCCAGAGCCTCGGCCAGCTCTGTTCCCAGGGCAGCTCCAAGCCCAGCCTTTTCCCTAGTGGCAGCTACCCCCCGTTTCCAGAAAACCACGGGAGTGCTGGACCTACCTTCCTTTATTCAGTAGCAGATCTAGGCTAAATCTCTTAATTTCTCAACATAGAGATGCTGCCTAAGACAGCGAAGCCTAATGGTAAAGAGGAAGCCTGGAAAACAGTTTTAAGTGAGACTGTAGTTACTGCTAATTATTTTCAACTGTCTGTTCCATTGTGTACCTTAGTTATTTATTTGAAAGTTACACAGAGGAGAGGCAGAGAGACAGAGAGGTCTTCCATCTGCTGGTTCACTTCCCAGTTGGCTGCAATGGCCAGAGCTGCGCCGATCTGGAGCTGGGAGCCTTTTCAGGGTCTCCCACGCAGTTGCAGGGGCCCGAGGGCTTGGGCCATCTTCCACTGCTTTCCCAGGCCACAGCAGAGAGCGGGATCGGAAATGAAGCAGTGGGACTCGAACCGGCACCCCTTTAGTTTTATTGTTGTAATCTTTAGTATCTATTCACAAATCAGTATAATGATGTTCAGTTTTAATGTTACACACATTATGAAACATGAAAAGTATAATTTCAGCAAAACAATGATTTTTACATAACTAAATCATCTGACAATTCAGCCTCCCATAATAATGGGCCCTACTGTACCCTCTGAATGGACTAGTTTATGATCATCCTAGCAGTTTTGAATTGAATATAGGTTGTTTTTTTTTTTTTTTTTTTAGATTTATTTATTTGTTTGAAAAGCAGAGTTAGAGGTGTCTTCCATTTGCTGGTTCACTCCCCAAATGGCCGCCGTGGTCAGAGCTGAGCCAATCCAAAGCCAGGAGTGTCTTCCGAGTCTCCCACATGCATGCGGGGGTCCAAGTCCCTTGGCCATTCCCCCACTGTTTCTCAGGCGCATTAGCAGGCTGCTGGATCAGAAGCGGTCCATCTGGGACTCAAACTGATGCCCATATGGGAATGCCGGCACTGCAGGGGGCAGTTTTACCCACTACGCCACAGTGCCGGGCCCTATTGAATAGTTTCTTAATGCTTCTTTCTGTGACCCAGGACTTAAAAGAAGATCTGGCAACTGGAACCAGATCGCCCCAGGATCAAGGAAGGCAGGAGTGGGATGAATGACCCTGGACATGATGCCCAGTAGACTTACACATTGTGCCCTTTGCTTGCCTTCAGAGCAGTCTGGCACTCAGGGTCAGGTTCAGAGCCATTTGTGTCCTGTCGCATCTCAAATGTCCACTACTGTTACACTGAGTAGGCTGTGGGGGAGAAGGGGGAAAGAATCATTCCCAACAATGATATGAACATTTCTAAATTTTCAGTACCAAGAATTAATTTCTCAAATGCAAATTCATAGAAAGAAGCTGTCCAGCTAGGCATCAACAAATGCATGGGCATGTTTGTCATCAAAGAACTACTGGACTTACAAAACCACAACTTATATCTCATTTTAAAATTGTTCACTCCCCTGTTGAGTGTGTGGGTAGGTAATGGAGAATGCTGGTTGGTGCTAAGGATTTTGGTGGTTTCAGGAGATGTGGGTTAAAGAGTTCTAGCAGACACTGGGAGGATTCTTCCCTCGCAGCCTAGATGTCCCCATTTAAATCTTTGCAAGTCCAGGCTTGTGGGCAGAGAGCAGTGGTTGAGAGCCCCCGAATATCCACGTGTCTGTGTCTGTGCCTGACATCACAAGTTCAGCTTACTGAGGACTCCTGGGTTAGCCACCGAGTCTCAGGATGCGGCAAGACCATCGCGATGCTGGGTGAACAGGGCGGACACCCAGCGTACAGAAGAGGCCCGGCCCAGGTGAAGACACGCGAGGCAGGGAAGACTTTAACAGAACAAGTGCCGTGGCCTTCGTGTCTGCCCTGTAACAGGCAAAGAACTTGGAGTCTAGTAAGGCCTACAAAGCAACGTGGGGAGACGGTGGAGACACATCACCTGGCCGCGCGGTATCAGCCAGGCTGGGGAGCGAGGTCCGCCCCAGCATCCAGCCACCGGGACAGCCAGCGGCGGGTGTGTCAAGTGTCACTAGTGATGCCAGGGAACATGAAATGGAAAAAGCCTGGCTCAAGTGGGCGAAATGAAGGGACTTGGCCCTGGTCCTGGGCGATGAGATTGAAGCGCAAAACCAACAAATAGGCTGGGTTACAGAGAAGGCTGAGAGCAGAGATCGCGCTGACGTCGCCAGTGCCAGAGCAAGGAAGCTCCAACAGCGGAACCACTGCTGCACTTCGTCGTCATTCATTCGTGTCTCCAGCCCCTCCTCCAAGTCATCACCTCTGCAGAGGTTGACGTCTGGGTTCTATGCTCTTCTACTCGGGAGATAATGTAGAAGAAAGGCCAGAGGAGTCACAGCCCTCTACGTGTTAAGGTAGACAGCTACTCAGCCCTCCTGGCGTGTTCTCTCTCAGTTCATGCTTACGTGGGTCTGCGCACCTCACATGCAGTGTTGTCAGCCTTCTCATTTCCGTTAGCGGGCTCTCTTGCTGTCAAGATGGAGGAGCTTTGGCAAAGAGCCTGCCTCTCCCTCTCCCTCCCTCCCTCTCTCTCTCTCTCTCTCTCTCTCTCTCTCTCTCTGTCTCTCTCTCTCTCTCTTTCCTCCTTAAGCTTTATTTATTGGAAAGGCAGAGTAACCAAGGGAGAGACAGAAAGGCCTTCTGCCCACTGCTTCACTCCCTAAATGGGGGACGACAGCCGGAGCTGGGCTGATCCGGAGCCAGGAGCTTCTTGTGGGTCTCCCACGTGGGTGCAGGGGCCGAAGGACTTGCTTCGTCTTGCTTTCCCAGGTGCATTAGCAGGGAGCTGGATCAGAAGTGGACCAGCTGGGACTTAAACCGGTGCCCATATGGGATGCCGGCGTCCCAGGCAGAGCTTTCCTGCTATGCGCGGTGCCGGCCTCTGTAAATGACGTTCTACGTTGTCCTCACAAGAACAACATCAGGCTGGCTCCTCTGCTGGGTCCTACTCTGCGCCTCCTGTGCCCGTTGCAGGTGGCCTTGTGCTCTGCTGCCTTGGCACGCGGTCACGCCGACAGGCAGGATGTTAGGAGGTGGGGCCTGGAGCCCTGCCACCCTCTCCAGTCGGGCCTGCAGGATGATGCTCTGTAACCTTGGCTCAGCCTCAGACCCTCCCTGTGCATCCCACTGCAGGCAGGGAGCCGTAAGCACTGCCATGTCCTCCTACTGCGGGGCTGCTGTTAGCACACGGCCCACAGTGGACAGCCGCTGATGACGCCTCGGTGGCGCCTTAGTCTGCATGTTTGATTTTAGCATAGCTTGGACCTGCTGTCGTGCCGGCTCATTGCACGGTGCAACTCACTGCTCCCTAGCCTAGCTGCAAGTGTGCAGTGGAGCTGCGAGGCAGATTGCTCCGTGGGCCACTGCTCGTACGTCACTGGAGACAACTGGCGCTTGCCTATGCAAGGTGACTTGCTCAGAAGGGTGCGAGGTAACGTAATGTTCTGCTAGGAATTTCTCAAGATGCTCCACCCAGGTAGAGGAAGCGACCAGGTTACTTCCCACCTGAAATCCCTGGCGTGCAACTCGTGTGTTTCACTACGAGAAAAGCAGAAGCTGTTTTATTTGGGAAAGGACCACGTTGGGCTTTAAGGGGTGGGGGCATTCAAGAAAAGCACCAGCCTGTGGCTGGGAAATCCAGTGGCAAGCCAGGAGCCGTCGCTAGAACGAAGAGAAGAGAACTCAAGCATATTAAGCTCCCACTGTGTGTGAAGTGTTTCGTCTTCACAATGACCCAGTGAAGTAGGTTTTGGCTTCCTTCTACCAAGGTCACAGCAGGGCGCAGGAATGAGCACTGTTACTAAGGTGCAAGATCAGAATTTGAAGTCAGGGGGCCAGCGCTGTGGCGTAGCAGGTGAAGCCACCGCAATCCCACATGGGCACCGGTTCAAGTCCCAGCAGCTCCACTTCTGATCCAGCTCCCTGCTAATGGCCTGGGAAAAGCAGTAGAAGATGGCCCAAGTGTTTGGGCCTCTGCCACCCACGTGGGAGACCTGGAAGAGCCTGGTTTCTGCCTTCAGCCTGGCCCAGCCTTGGCTGTTGCAGTCATCCAGTGAATAGAAGATTCTCTCTCTCTCTCTCTCTCTCTTTCTCTCTGTAACTCTTTCAAATAAATAAATACATCTTTTAAAAAAGAATTCAAAGTCAAATCTAGTTCTACCACGCTGGCTCTGAGTGTGGTTATGAAAAGCCACGTTGCCCTGGGAAAGTCATTCCGAGTCTTCCGACTGCTCAGTGAGACCTGAGAAACACCTGAGACTGTGGGTGCCTGGCCGCTTGCTGGAACACTGGGAGGAGCATTCTGAAAATACCAAGTGGGGAGGCATCCCGGCTGGCTGAATGTTTA